CAAGGTGTGTGCATTCCGAAGGCCCTTACCAAGCTTCCCAAGTGTTTCTTTGCAGAACGCATTTGCAAAGACGATGACACGCACCTACGGTGCTTTGCAGGTGAGCTGTTGACGGCCATACCTGCCATGACCTTGTTCAACAGTCTGGTTTTGGAACCTTTGGGAATTTTGAGGGACCACCGGCTTTGTTTCCAGCAGTTGGCAACCATTATTGACATCTTGAGCAAGGGCGAGGGAGCATTGCAGTTCCTTCCTCAGTTGAAGCGCGCAATTTCAACCCACAATGAGATGTTTTGCAAGCTGTACCCAAATTGCGCGAAGCCAAAGTTCCATTGGCTCTTTCATACCAGGAAACCTAGAGCAGTTCCAAGTTAACATGAGCTGCTTCTGTCCTGAGCGCAAGCATCAAGCAGTCAAGGCAGTAGCAAGCCATGTGCACAATTTCACCAGTTTGATGCACCATATCTCAATGAGGATCGGTTGGGACACCTTACAAGCGTTTGACAAAGGTGACTGCAACATGTGTAAACATACCCATTTGGATGGGTCAGTGCGTCACATTGCGCAAGGTGCTGAAATGCTGTCTTTTTGGAGTGATGAAGTTGTGTGCGTCAAGACTGCAAGAAGATTGGTGACACAAACTGGGAGGGTATCTTTAAGGGGGATGTGGTGTTTGCCCCCCAGAGGCAACAACTCTTTGTCCCACTTGCTTTTGTGGAAGTCACCTTGATGTCAGGGGAGTGCACCTTCATGGTTCAAGCAAACTGCCACGATCATAAGGAAGGGGCGCTGTTTGAAGGATCTTCTATGCAAACTTTGCTGATGTGGGAGTCTGCTTTTAGATCAGTACACTACATTGCGAGGTCTTCCGGGCCATTGCGCGCATGCTTGCGCAATGAGGATGTCCTGGCAATGTCCCAGACTAAAGCTTGCCGCAAATTGATCTGATCGGCGTGAAGAAGGGAATGTTGCAGCACGAATGCAGTGGGTCTTACTTATACTTCCGACTGGCGCGTTTTGTTGCAAGCTTCGGATGTCGTTCAACAACGAGCCCTGATCGTCCACGTAGACGATAGGCCCGAATTGGGCAACCAACTTCGCTTTGGACCCGATGTGTCCTGTAATTGAAGCTCCCTGGTCACAACGTCACTGGAGAATTTGGTGCGGGTCACGGCAAAGAGACCCAACGACCAACAGCCTCGCCTCAAGGTCCGATAGGTTTCTTGCGTGGCCTTGGAGACGCACAGCTCAACTCCCTGAGCCCCCTTAGGGCGGGACTCGAGGGATCGGCGGTGGCTTTGGAAGGTTCTCCAACTCAAGTTGCTGCTGCTTCTCCTGCTCGAGTTCTTCCTTGGTCGGAATGCGGGGCGGCGTTGGCAATGCTCCCAAGTCTCGACGTGACCTGGACCTGGCCGGGAATGCTCAATTGGCCTCGAAGCACGCTTTACTGTCTCAACTGCCGAAGTTGCTTCACGCTCAATGCCCTCTGTTTCAACCGACTCACGCTTGCTCTTGGCCTGGCCGATGTAGCTCTTGGTGGCGGTTTGACACGCTCCTCAACAGGAGGCTTCTCCTCTGGCTCACTCAACGATGGTGAAGGCTTGCTAGTCGTGGGGCGCGCTGGCCTAGATCTCAACTCCCTTGCACGCGTATCCTCAACCGAAACTGATCTCTCTTCTGTGGCCGGCTCAGTCGCCTGAGTGCAACGGAGTCGTCGGTTGCGCTGAAGTCAACTGCTGAAGCAATTTCTGGGGATCCGGCAGGGGCTGCTGGCGCAGTCTCGACCGGCTCTGCAAGATTTGTTCTAGGCTCACCGGTCTCAGTGTCTATGGATTCCCCTTCAAGCTCAACTTCTTCTTCGGCTTCGCCCGTTCGCAAGTCTTGATCGCGAGCAGGGCTCTCGTCACGGACTGGGCTCAAACCACCCTCTGGGACCCAGACCCACACACGCTGCCAGGAACCTTTTGGTGGCGAGCGGGATCTCTCTGTTCGACCAACGGGCGTCCTCGATCTCTCTTCTTGTTCACGCCCAATGTGATCAACCGGGGTTTCCTCAGTCTCACTCTCACTCGGAGGACGCGGAGGAGCTCGACGCGTTTCCCAGGTCTCAACCACGTGCGGGGGCGGACGCCTCCTTGTGTTTTCTGAGGAGAGCGCGCTGAGGAACAACAAAATTAAATTGTTTCTTCAAACCTTGAATGGCACTGCACCTAAACAACCCAAAAGGGACATTGACACCCTGGCTGAAGGAAGGAAGCAAGGAAGGAAGGAAGAAAGAAAGAAGGAAAGAAGGAAGGAATGAAAGAAAGCAAACAAGCAAACAAGAAAGAAAGAAAGAAAGAAAGCAAGCGAGCAAGCAAGCAAGAAAGAAGAGGAGGGAAGCAAGAAGGAAGATGTCTTTCTCTCTTTCTATAAGGCCTTTTGACCCTTGTTTGGTCTTTCTTTCTTTCTTACTCCCTTTTAATTAATTGTTTCTTTCTTTTCTTTTCTTTCAAGCGCAAGCGCACCGATGTCTTGACACCGATCTCTCAGAGCACGGACACAGAGCACCGTGAGCACGGACCGAGACACAGAGCACGGACACGGGCGTGGACCAAGACTTCGCGCCGGACCCGTAGGAGCGCGCACGGACAAAGCACCCGGCGGTTCTCCACAGTTGGAGAAGTGCCTCAAGCAAACTCTATAATTCTAAAGTTGGAGGACCTTAAGAAAACCCATCGTCGTTTTCACCCACAGGGGTTTCAAACACTGACACGCGGCGCCCTACAACCCATGTTTCGGAGCTGGGCGCCCGGCTCTGAATTAAGGATATTGAGGTCCCTCCACTACCAAAAAAAATAACAGTGTAGGTTGATCACCTTTTGTTTTAATCTATGACTTCTCTACCGCAAGCCTCTGATTCGCAGCTGGGCGCCCGGGTCCGATTTAGCCAACTGCAGCCTGCGTCAAACTAATCGTTGGAGATTTCAGGATTTGCTGTCGAGTCTCAGTTCATATTTTGCAGTGTCACTGTGACTTTGTTGTGAAGACACAGTTTTTATGGCTGCGCTTCAGACTTGCTTCGGGTACGCAGCAGCGCTTGGGGAGAGTGAGATGTAAAGGGAGAAAAAGCGACCACCCATACCAGAAGTAAGTCAGTTCTTCTAGATGAGTTTGTGAGTGGTCATGATGGTGCTGATGGGTATGATGATGATCAGGATGATGTTGATGATGATGATGACGACCATTATGAGGATGGTTCTTGAAGATGAGGAGGACCAGGGTGTTGCCACGAAGATGTCAGGAATGAAGGAAAGAAAGCAACAAGAAAGGCATACGCAGGAAAGACTTCAATCCTGCTCAGCTCTGTGTACCTGCATGCCTTTTGCAAACACCTGCAAGGACCCCAGTCTGATCAGCTCTGTGTACCTGCAGCTGTGTCAAAAAACATGCCACCAACCTGATCAGCTCTGTGTACCTGCAGCTGCTTCCAAAACATGCCACTTACCTGATCAGCTCTGTGTACCTGCAACTGTTTCAAGGCATTTTCCATTGACTTGATGAGATTTCTGATTGACACCTGCCACTCCTGATGTTATACCTGGGCGAGCCCTCCTTAGAAAACCCAAGCCTCGGCTGCTGTGGCGATCGAGCCCTGTACACCTCGCGGACAGGCCTCCCGCGATCCTCTCGCCTCTCGCGTCGATCGCGATCTGGGTATCGACCAATGGCACCGCAACCACGCTCGCGGTATTCGCGATGCCCAGAACGACTATCGTAGTCACGACCACGTCCGCCTGTCTCACGAAACTCTCTTTCAATACGCTCCCTTCCACGGCCTGAAGACCTTCCACGGTCCTCGACCGGCAACCCCCGTTCACGACGGGATATCTGACTTGCGCCTCTTGGCCCCCTTCGCCTCCGCGATCGCTCACGCGGCTGTGGTGGCATGGGTCGCGCCGGAAGCGCGAAAGAGTGAAAGTTCAAACAAACAAGTATCTGTCCTCGCTCCACTCAAACTCAATGATCTCTCAAACCCTGCGGGTATATGTGAATGCAGTATATGTCAAGCTTGACACGATGCTATGTCAATAGTCAAGCTTCTCTTTCTCTCAACCAATGGTCTCTTGTAGCCCTTGATGCGGCTGATAACCAGTTGAAAGCTGATCGTATACCTGGTTCTATCAATTTAGGGGCAGCGCGCAAATCGCGAACGGTCGATCGATCGCGACCATGAAGGCGCAGCCTCCGTCTTTTCCAGGCACACTTGAGCCAAAGTATTTGGCAAGTCCACAGTCCAATCGGAGATGTCTCTTTCAACATGTCTATTTCCGATGATGCAAATGTTCACATTACGATTCCCTAGCACAGGATTGACATCCAAAAGTGCTTTCAATGAATCCCTTCATGCATGAACTCAAGCCCTTCACTCCATGTCAGTACTCAAAGTCCAGGCTATGGTTTTAGACGAGGGATTTCTTCTGAACGAAGCACCATTTGCATCCATTTTGCTGTAGATTCTTCAGTGCAAGTGCCTGATGTCTTTTCACCATTCAAGAGTTCATCTCACCCACTCAGGATGTGTTTCCCCTTCAGCAGCAGCAGAATTCTACTTGCAAAGGACATGCGTATCTTCCGCGTTCGCAAAGTGTGGATACCAATCACCTTATACCTTAAAACTGGAAAGCGGGCGGTTGCGCGCTTGCGATGTGACGCCGACGACGTTCAGAAACATAGGATCAATTCCTGAACAAAACAAAAGCATGTTCTTATGTTCAAGACCCTTCGGCTCTATGTTGCAGCCTTCGCATTCTGGTTTTCCCTTGCACCCCTTTCTAGCTGCCAAACTGACCCGTTGCAGAAAACCATAAAATGTTGCGGGAACATGTCAGGTCTTGTTTTGGAATGATTGGTTCTCGCTCTCAACAAATCGTTTCTAGACTGTGCTTTCTCGATTTGTGCTTGATGCCGTGTCGGTCCCCACAAAAAAAGCGCTCGAAACCGCACAACTTCGGCCGTACCTTTGGGGCAATCGGCGCATCCTGCACAAGAATGGAGACAATTGAGCACACCAACAAGTATGAAGCAAAATGCGAAACGCTTCTGAACCGCTCTGTATTTGCTTGGGCAAGCAAGGAACAAGAGTGAAGTCCTGTAGCTTCTCTGCGGCATGTTGCAAGGCATGTATGCTTCCTTCTAAAGCTTTAATAACCACACCTTTGTCGCACTGTAGCTCTTCCGAAACCAGCTGCAAAACGTCGGGATCCTGTTTCACTACCTGCAGGATGAAGTCTCTGTCATTCCGCAGTTCTTCTGCTGCTGCATGATTGGAGGCATTCCGGCTCTGTTTGACAGCCCGCGGCTCCTCTGTGTCATCCTTTTTCAAATCTCGATCCGCGTGTAGCTCTTTGGCAGCGTGCTTTTTTGCGAAAGCATTTTGCTCCACTCTCGGGTCTCGCTGAAGCTCTTCAGCAGCAAACTCCAGAGCTAAGCCATCCTTTGTTCGCACAACCTCTGGGTCTTCCCACAAATCCTCAGCTGCGTGCTGCAACGCCAATCCATTAACGGCCACAAGCTTCAGGACGATTGGTTTTTCTGTCGGCTTCGCAGGATCTTTCTCCTCAGCCTGCGTCAATTGACACAAATATAAACAGCCATTGATTGTTAAAACCTGCAAAGCCAATCGACAAAGCCCTGATCTCATGCTGGGCTGCTGGACCCATTTCCATGACCGGGTGAGGCAGGCAAGACCGAGAACTGCTAAACAAATAATCAACCCAGTGATTCTCGCAAGTGGACCTGCTCAACGGGAGGAACAAAAGGAGTTGACAAATTGGCCTAACATTGAGTCTGTGAGGACCCAAGGGTGCCAGCACACCCCAAGACTTTGGAGGACAAATTCGCAAACAAAGGCAATGAAACGTCTTGGAGAGAGTTAAGATAGTCTAGACCCGTCTTGGGTTGATATTGAAAAAACAGTCTCAAAGCCTGTTGAAAGGATCACTCTTCGAAACGTTTTGCGGGACTTAGCGTTTGGCTGCCGAATGTTTATCTAAAGTGCTGAAAATTCCTGCAATCTTGCGCGTGCTGGTTGTACCAACAGGGTCATTTGGAGCGCGATCCGTGCTGGACATTTGCCGCCGAATGTTGCGACAACAATGTTTCACTGAATGTTGCGGATTGCAGTCTATTGTTTCACAGGTTATGTGCAACGTGGTTGAGACTCGAACAGATCTTTGGACAAACGGCTGGTAGTAGTTGTAAAAATGGAAGGAAGGAAGGAAGGAAGGAAGGAAGAAAACGATCAGAGCCCTTTTGCAATGCAAACAGAAGATGAACATAATTCACTTTCACAGAGCTGCTGGATCAACTGGCAAGTGCGGCAGATGCAGACGCTTTGACTGTCCAAAGGTTTGAGGTGAGTTGACAAATCCTTTTCAGAAGATCCCCGATCTTCACTCAGCTCTCGTAAGCTACCAAGAGGCCAGAAGCCATATATATATATAAGTGGAGGTGGAGTGGAAGACAAGCCGTGGATTCTTGCCTTTGAGAAGGAGTTCCTGTGGAAAAGGGAAAAGTTATGGGATGAGCAGCAACAAGGGTTTCCGCAAGGGCCAGTCAAAAGGAAAAGTCGAATTGTTAGCTCGCATCTCAAGGATGCATTGCAAGAGATGTGGTGGGTTGGGTCATTGGAAAGCAGCGTGCCGAGGAGTCTCAGGCGAACGTTGCCTCAGCATCCCATGAAGCGATGGAGCAAGACTTCACAGAGCAAGTTTTGATCGAGGAGAGCAAGTCAGACACCGAGGTCCGGATTGGAAGAAAAAAGCACCAGAGAGGGTTTTCAGAGACAAGTAAAAGCCAGAGTTCGTTCGAGCATTTCGAAGAAGCATTTCTTTTTGGAGCCACAGTAGAAAAAGCAAAGAATGTTGTGTTTTTTTGCTGTCTGTTTTCTTCGGAAAGTTCCCGAGCTACAATGCCATGATCAGGAAGACCCAAGAACAGCCGCTGGATCATCAAAGAGCAGCACACGAATTTGGTTTCGCCAGCAAGGCTAGCCAACCGCAGGATTCCAGACAAACGGAATGGCCATCATTGACGCAGGAGCCAGCCGCAGTGTGATAGGAGATGAACCAATCCGATCCCGTGTGAAAGAGCGAGCTAGCCAAGTCGCATATTGTTTAGGCAGCAATCAAATAGGATAATAGCCTAGCTGTTAGCAAATCCCTATTCCATAGAGCATAAGAGAGTACGCATGTGGCTTGTAGTTGAAGTGGTTCCCAAAGCAACCCCATGTTTGTTGTCGATTCAAACGATGAAACGTCTTGGAATGGTCATTCATGTGCAGTGATTTTGCTGAACCAAGTGGCAACTCAAGCGTCGGAACAGGTTTCAATGCCGACCGAGCAGATTTCAACGAGCGAACTCCTCTCAGAAGGAGAAGATCGGACTGGCGATGATGAAACAGAACACATCACCGCGAGAAGAAGCATTCACAGTTCTGACGGAAAGCGATCTGGAAGTCTGGGATCAAGAGGTGAGTTTTTTCAACGCCAAAAGGTTGCAGCCAATCTCTCACCACCCAGGGTGAAGTCGGCAGCCGGGAAAGGAAGCTTCCGAGCCCAAGCATCATCAAGTCACGCAGTTTCGAGTCTGATTGGGATTGCAGTCGCCCATTGCATTCAAGCGAGACTGGAGTGATTCAGCCAAACCAGAGCCAAGGACATGGTTCCTGCATGGACAGCCACAGCCATGTAACAATGGGGACAGAATTCACGTCGGGAGAGAAGCACCCAGGAAAGCCGTTCGCTTTGGTGAGCTGGCATCTGAGCCGGATCAATTCGGATGCTCCGATCAGCGATTTTGCACCGTACCGCCAGAAAAAAGCCAAGGATTGAAGTGAAGTGGGAAACATTAGCTCTCGATCAAATGGTGTCAGTTGAAACAGAGACCGAGGCAAAGTTCATAAAAGCAGCAGAAGTAGGAAAAGGCAGTTCGTTCAGTAGGCAAATAGATATGCTAGAAGTGTAGGCACAGCCAAACAGCCGACTAGCCGAGGAGGTAATTATGGTGACCCATCCACATTCCATGGCAAAGTGCAGCTGCTCCGAATGATCTGTCGATTGCGACCGAAGCACATCTGGGTTGCGCCAGAATGCTGTCTATGGTGCGCTTGGAATCGTTTCAATGCAGCCAGCAGTACCACATTGCACGAGAAAATTCAACGAAACAGAGACCTGTCACGTCAAAAGAACGTCTCGAACTGTGCGCACTGATTTGCAAGATTCAGGTCCAAAAAGGAAGGCATTCCATGGAAAGCCCAGGAACATCAGACGTGTGGAAGCAAGTCGAGCTCGCATCCATGATGGTACTCACCAAAACAGCCCAGTTAGATCAATGCAGGTTCAGTCTAGTACATCCAGAAGATCATAGGCCCCTCAAGATGTACACACGTTTGCAAACCACATCCAATCACATCGTTAGGGATTTAGATGGAAGAATGTGCAGAAAGGATCAACACACTCAGGTAGCAGGGTCATTCAAATTCCAAAATCAAAAATTCGCGTATCGGCTTGCAGCGTTCTATCCCAGACTGCCGTCAGAAGTCCCATCGTTTGAAGAAAATGTGCAATGAAAATGAAGCATTCCCAGCAGATGAAGAAGATCTGCAAAAACTCGCACCTTTTGAGCAACGCCACCAGAATCAAAGAGCAAAGCCGAACCTGCGGAAACCGTGAGAACGCCTCTCACGGAAGCCAATCTAGGGAAGAGGTTCTCAATTGGTTTCAGACCAAGCCGCCAAAATCCGGATCCGTCGTCTTGCTAAGCGACTGGCCAGGCAGTTGATTGATTCAGCAGTGCGGATTCGATGTAAGGTAAAGGCATGGATAAATATATCGTAGGTCAAACCACAAATTATGAGATCCAAAGAACCAGTTGAAGTTTTTTTAAGAAATGTAGATATATAATATATGTTTGACTTGGGGGAAGAACAGTGGACAAAGATGACTCTAAACCAGCAGAGATGAAGTGCCAAGTCACATCATGTCTTTTCGGATCACAGTTCGATCGAGAAAGAAGACAGACTCTTTCGATCTCCGCCAAAGAAGCCAAGAGACAAATCGAGCGGTTCGGTCCGTTCGGTCCGTTTGGTCCGTTCGGCAATCAGAAGTGCCAGAGTCTAGCTTTGTCGAGTCGAGTTCCGCCAACCAAAAGGTTGACGAACTTCAGGAAGCCAAGCAAGACAGGCTGACAGTTCCAGCATGGTTTTCTGGAGTGTTCCAACAATTCCGGTCCTAAATTTCACAGTTTGGATAGTTTCCAAAAGTCCCTGATCCAAAGAATATACAAAACATATGGGACACCCAAATGCAAATTTATTAGCAAATGATCTTCGTAGACTCCAATTTTCACAAGAGTTGACAGAAGGAACAAGCGAATATTTGTGCCAATTATGTTCAGAAAGAGTTACAATATATAACCCCAAACTAACGATGGATTCGAGTGAAAAAATAGTTTCGGAAAAACATATTATGTGATACACATCTTTCGTCACGAGAATTTCTCCTGGTCTAGATTCCTGAGTCAAGAACAAAATGGACACATCTAGAACGAAGTGTCCTCGCCGTGTTCGTTATATGTGTCTGACGTCAGCACCTGTTCTACTGAAGGGCAGTCTATAGCAAAATGGACGTGTCCTCGCGGATTTCGTCATATTGTATCTTCAGTCCGGCACCTCTTTTTCGGCCGGAGCATAGTCAGGAGGATGCTCTCCTGGTCTAGGTGCCTGCAGGGCAGTCGAGAACAAAGTGGACGCATCTGGAACAAATTGTCCTCACCGTTTTCGTTTTTGTTTTGATATTTTCTGACGTTACTACCTGCTCTACTGAAGGGCAGTCTAAAGCTAAATGGACGCGCGGTCACCGATTTCATCCTTTTGTCTTCAGTCTGGCACCTCTCTTCCGGACGGAGCATAGTCAGGAGGATGTTCTCCTGGCCCAAATGCCTGCAGGGCAGTCTATGTTAAGTAGACATCTAGAGCGATGTGTCCTCGTCGACTTTGTAATGTTTCCCTGACACTGGCACCTTTTGCGCCGGTGGACGATCGTCAGGATGATATTCTCCTGCTCTAGGTGCCTGCAGTAGTCAAGAACAAACTGAACACATTTGCCAGATCATTTGCCGAGCAATTTATATAAATGTCTATAGAACGGCTGGCAGAGGATAAAACTGCATAAAATTACTGGCAAAGGTGTTTCTATAAAATACAACGTCAGATCCAGCAATAGTAAAAAAAAACTTTTTTGAAGTATGGGCAAGTGATGCCTCTATGAAATGATAAACCAGATCTCAACAGAAAAGTAAGATATCTCCATAACATGTCTAAGAAAGCTCGTTTATTTCACTCTTGAGCTGTAGCGGCCTGCAGGTGCAGGTCTTTGTGCTTGACTCAACATGTGCTTTCACATGGAGTGTGTGAGGTCCTTTCTCTCCATGTGAGGGTGTTACACTCCTCCTTTGAGGTAGACGTGGTGAAGTCTGCTCTCAACTTCTGCGCTCACATCTCTGCCAGGTTCGTGTTCCCCAGCATTGATTGCGCTCTGCAGTGATTGCTCCTCAGCGCGGTTCTCTCTGTGGCGGCGCAGCTTGTGCTTGTTCAACTTGCTGCTGCAACGCCGCTCTTTCTGCTCTGGCCCTGCTTTCTCTCACAACATTCATCCAGTCTCTGCTTCCAAGAGGCCATCCATATCCTCTTGGAGACTCAGGGATTTCCTCTTCAGGCTCAGGCTCGTAGCAAAGCCTTCGTAGAAGCCATTTGCCACCGTCTCTCCTACAGTTGGGGTTCTCTATGAGGTACTTTTCACCAACTTGAGGTGTGTCGATCTCAGGGTCGAGGAGTCGGTGAATCTGGATTTCACCAGTGTCCGGGTTGAACCAGAACACGATGCCAGGCATGTTGTTCTCCACATAGCATTCTGGGTGTTCTCCCAGCTCTTCTCTCAAGCCAGCGCGCCGTCGAAGTTCTCGAACTGCTTCCGTCACTTCGTCGCCAGGCTCACGTTCAACACGTCGAACTTGTTCAGGCGAATCACCTTCTGGTTCTGGTCTGCTGCATGTTCTTCTTCTTCTGAACTCTCTTCACTTATAAGCTTCCAAGTCCTCCATGGCGTTCTAGACGTCCATCCACGTCCAGAAAGTACTCCTCGCCAGGGAAGGCTTGCGCTCGGCTTCGAAGAACTCTGTAGGTCGGCATTTCTTGACCAATGGGGTCCCGATCTTCAACTGTTGCGATGACATCGTCATCGTCTACATCCATTGCATCCTCTGTGAACTCATCTTCCGTGCGTTCTCCGCCAGAGTTGTAGGCTGTCTCCGTGAGGTTCTCGAGTTGAGGTTCTTCTTCTTGTTCTTCTTCTTCATCTCCTTCAAGTAGTAGGTGGTTGACATCTCCACCATCAGGTTCATCCCATAGTTCTCCATCTCGATCACTTCCACGAGCTTCCGGATCATGTCTGGCTGGTTCTCCAAAGATGTTGAACCTTGTGTTCTTGACCTTTCTCTCTTCACCATCTCGATGAGGGTCTTGGGGTGGTGAATCACGCCGTTGAAATTCTCCGCCGCCTTCAACAGGTCGTAGGTCGTAGGTCGAAGTATCACCAGAAAATTTTGACTGCCTAGATCAGAGTAGGATTAGATCAGGGCAGGGTCGCATATATCAGCAGAAATGTCATATTTTTCGCATTTTCACATGTTTTTTTATCAATTAAAGGGTTCCACATTTTTACTATTTTTCACATTTTTGCTCATTTTTTGCACTTATTGAAGAAAACGCCTCAAGCACAACATTGTCAATCATATTGTGTTTCTTGGGGAGAAGTTGTTCCAACAGCTGAACACAACTGACGATGATGTCATCCACCGCGCGCAGGACGAACCTTGGACGACAGAAGTTACTAAGTTTTACATAATTCAAGTGACAAAGCCGGTGAAGGCACTTGGGCCAGAAGAAGCCCAATGCAACTCAGGGAAGCAGGTAGGACAATAACAGTAAAGTTGATTCACTTAGTCTGGCGTGGTCGTTGAGTTGTTTCTATTTCTAAATGTTTCTAATGGTGTCTACAGGCCTGTCTGCTGTCTCCAAGAGCTTCACTGCAGCGCTGTGACAATCGCATGTTTTGCGCTCTAGGCAATGCAAGCACTCGTGCGTACAGTAAAGCCAGGAACATTTGCTGACCGCCACCATACATTTGCGGCGTCATGGGGCCGCCAAACATCTGCGGCATCATTGGCGGCGTCATCCCGCCAGACAACGTAGACGCCCCACGAGCCTTCTTCTGTGCCCGGTTCACTGCATTGACCACCGACATGGCAACAGCAGGGTAATCAGAAGCGACAAAAGACTTTGAGAAGACACTTGACAGCAGCAATCATATCACGGTCCAGTTTGCATGTGAAATTAGTTTTTGTCCGATTTTTGCATGTTTTAATCTCATGTTTCGAGATGGTAAAATGATTTTCCCTTTTAACTCCTCGAGATTTCTTGAGATGTTTTGAGATTTTTCGAGATTTTTTGAGAATTTTTCAGCGAATTGCTACTATTATTTTCCCTTTCCTTTTCTGATTCTTGTCCTATTATTGTGTTCTGTCCCATCGTTCCCTTTTCCTTTTTTCTATTATTCCATTATTCTTTATTCTCGGTGGTCAATGCAGTGAGCCGGGCACAGAAGAAGGCTCGTGGAGCGCCTAGAGGGATGATGCCACCAACGGTGCCGCAGATGGGTGGTCCTATGGCGCCGCAGATGAATGGTGTAACAAAATCATCCAAACGATCAATGTCTGACTGAAGTGGTGCACCATGGTGGAAAATATGTATATAAGTATATATTTGGCTTGACTTTCTCAAACCCTTAAACAATAAGTTCACCAAGTGTTCAAAATCTATTCACCGTTGAGATTATGATTTCATCCGCGCAACCCCGTTTTAGTCACATGCTAGGCCAGTTTGTGCTCAATGGGTTTTCACAAACTCTTACGCGTCAAATTTTTGGCCATGTCATATTTTTCATTTACTTTCATTTGTTTGCATTTTTTGCATGTTTTTGCATTTTTTGCATGTTAAATCTCTTACCGAGATTTTAAATCTCTTTTGAAAGTCTTCCATTCCAAGACCTCTCCGGCAAAGGTCATTGAATTTTTGTTGGTGAAAGTAGTCCCTGAGGTAGAATTGAATAGGATGAAGACGAATACGTTGAACGCCATCATCATCATGCCAGTCTGCAAGATCTGGTAGCCCATCTCGGTCAGGAGAGACCATGCTGCAACTGAAGCTGCGTTGAGCACCATCAGCGCCAAGTCGCAACCTTGCACACTCATAGCCATCATCATGGCCACCATCAAAACTGCATTTGCCGTGAACACCATGAGGAAAAGTCCACGGTTTCCTTCATTCCCGGTCGTCGGCTCTTCTCCGACTTCCATTCCGTGGCCCTGCTGACTCAAAGCCGCCAAAAGCAAACATGTCAGCTGTTGTACTCGTTCAGGTCGAAGTCCTTTGACGTGTCGAACTTCTTCTTCTTCTTCTTGGGCTCCAACTCGTGGTCCACCAGCGTACTCCAAGTAGCCAATGAGGCCCAGCAAGAATCTCAGTCTCTTGCTGCTCTGACTCGTTGTTCCCAAGTCACTGCTGTTTTCCTTTCCCGGCACTGGTCGAATTGCTGCTTCTCGCTCTTCAACTTTCTGTTGTACCCAAAGAAGTCCAGCGCTTATGTGTCGGGTTCTTTGTACGCCTTGTCGTTGGAGTAGTGCTCGAGCAGAGGAACTGTCAATCCTCGGCTCCAAGACCACTTTCATGTTCAGCACAGCTTCCAACATTCTCTTTATGTATATTCCATCTGCCACGCCGCTGACTGCTGAAATGAACTCGGCTTGACAAAGCTATGCTCTTCTGGCTTCTGCTTGCACTCCAAAAGAAGATGCCGTTGAGGTACATGTGACTGCATGACATAGATCTCCTTGTAGTCCTGTCTGAGGCCCAGTCGCTGTCCGTGAAGACTTCGAGTAGGCTCGGGCGTTGTGTTGCAGCCATCTTCACATCATCACTCCTTTCTCCCATAGCCGAAGCCATTAGAGCGAAGCTCTGCTTCTTCATCTCCTGCACATAGTCTGCCGCGTGCTTCAAGTAGAGCACCAGCTGCTTCAACTCCTTCTGGTCCAGGGTGTCAGGTCCTGTGACCTTTGAAGCCAACTGTCGAACTGCACATTGAATGTCTGGCCTCTCAGTTGACATGTAGAGCAAAATGCCAACGCAAGTCCTGTAGAGGCTCGATTCTTCTCTGGAAAGAGGTTGTCCAGTCCTTTCTGGAAGGTTCCAGTTGTAGGCGTCAGCTTGCCCTTGTTCACGTGCAGGTCCAACAAGTCCACCAACTTCTTCACATACTCTGGTCCATTCGCACTGTCATGGGACCAGATCCATCTCAAGCAACATGCCTCTTCAGCAATGCGCGCATGGGTCCTTGCACTTGAAGTGTCCATTCCTGCTTTCTGAAGCGATCAAGGAGCTTCTCAACATCTTGTTGACTTCCAACCAGCCGTAGGTCGTCAACATGTGAAGACATCACCAAGGGTGTCCTGCCAGCCTTGTAGAAGACTGCTAGGTTTGCAGGATAGGGTTGTAGTCCTTGGTCTCGTGCCACTTTGCCCAAGTGGTCATACCATGCCTTGGATCCAACTCGTTGTCCAGGAAGGCATCGTCCAAGTTCAAAGAACTCTTCATTGCGCTCAACATAGACCTTCTCCTCCTGGGGAACCATGGGGTAGGCGTCCTTGACATCAACTGCCCATAGTCCAAGTTCTCCTTGGCTCGACTGAACCAAGGCAGCCCAAAGTTTCACTCCAATTGCATTGCTCGTAGGGCTGAACAAATTCTCCATCTCAGGCGCAAGAAACTTGTAGTCTCTGCCAACTAGTCTTGACCGTCTCATCCAGCCAAACTTACTAGTCTCTTCCTTGAGGCGCCATCGCCAGTCGTAGACCTTCTTGCTCGAACCTGTAGCCCTCAAAGTTGCCATTCTTTGGAACGAGGACTCCCATCTCCTTGAGGCGTGAGATCTCTCGTTCATCTGCTTCGAGCTCCAATT